CAGGGGTCCTGAGCCTCCCACCTCCCCTGGTCCCGGTGGCGGTAGCAGCAGAATCAGGACCTGACCAGCAGGAGCCCCTGCCCCTCCTCACTGATCCCAGTTGTAGTCTGTGCAGTGGCATTACTGCCGGGTGCAGGGGTGCTGAGTGTACCGGTGACACGGTCAGAAGGCAGCATCAAAATGACTTACTATAAACTTTTTGTGCAGTATTTCAGCAGTAATCTATTATTTAAATATATATATATATTGTGATTTGAGTGCAGATTTACAAATCATATTCGTTTTACTCTCAATAGTTAATGCACAATTGGTTTCATAGCCTCAGGGATTCCACTAATCCCTGTCTGACCAGTCATTCTGGTCATTTTTGTGTTTTTGAATTTTGTTCCACATTTTTCCTCCCACTCCATCTAGGATCTCCAATTGGTTGGCACGGGTAGCAGGTCACCCTCTAGTTCTTCTGGTCTCAGGGTGCTAAAGGCTGAGGAGCTCGTGGTCCATCATATCTTTGCACTAATGGTTTCCAAGTGACTTTGGTTTTCTTCACTCTTCTTTACTCCAGACAAGAGGAGACCAGTAGTTGCATTTTACATGGCTGCTCGAAAGCTTTTAGGACCCGTGTCGATGCGCACCAGTTGGTCACCAGTACGATGCAGAACAAGACTGTTGTGTACCGTGTTATGCCACCTGAGCATGATGTCCCTGAGACTATGGTCCCAAGTCCGAAGGCCCAGTGATTCTCTCCCTCAAGGTGTTTGGTTGTCTCTGAGAAGCTACTCCCACCTTGTGGGAGTCTGTGACTTCTGGATGTTTATGGATAATTTTGTAGCCCAAGTACATTTGTAAGACTCCCTTCAGCCAAATCCATCCTTGGTCTTGGGTATATTCCTGCTCCTGCCCCCACCTGATCTCACCTGTCTGTGCGTTTACACCTAGCCTAGTGTGTGCTGCCCCTGGTAATGCGATATTGTGCATGTCATAGCGTTTGCTTCTGTTATATGTTTTTTATAAAAACATCCCTGTAGTTATTTACAACAAAAACACTTTTTGTAAGCCCAGCCTCCATGTATCAATATACCTACAAGGCTAAAACTCAATGCTAATTCGCTTTTTGAACCTTCTAGAGGGGTCGCTATGAGTCAGGGCTGACTCGACG